TGGCTTTTTGCCTTTCATTTTCCTGAAATTTTATTGACTGCTTTAAACTAATCTTGAAATCTGATTGGTTGTTTTGTTTTACTGTCCCATTCTCATTGGCTGAGAAAAAGATGCAGTGATTTCAAAATGGATTTAATAAAGAATTTCATTGTTCTTAGATGTAGCATGGTTGTACAACCATATGGTGTACCTGCCATCTTAATATTAGAGGAAGCTCTATCTGATATTCAACAAGCAGCAAATCTGACATACATCCATGGACACTAAAGGAGCTTCTCCTAGAGAATGCTTTTTCTGTGGAGAACCACCCACTCCATCACCTCGAGCACGTTTCGCAAGTAACTTCCTGACCTACAGGAATACACGTAAAATAAAAACCCAATTACCAAGGATCATAAATAATCAATATTGCTTTACTTATCTTAATATAACCGTTCAAAAGTTATTGAGTGCAAACAAGATCACCACCTGGTAAATCTGTTTAAATAAAACAATATGAATTCCAAAATAACTCATCGCAGGTCTGTGGGTATAATTTATTGTTACAACATAAAATTCAAAACAATTGAATCTCCAATAGAAGTTATATCTCTTTTTAAGACCAAAGCTAAGGTGGTGGCTTATTGGCAGAAGGATCTTATGAAGGAGGGACACTTTAGGAGGTTTATTTTCGAGTATGGTTGTTGAAGGGAAGGGAAGGGGATATTATCAAAACTGTAAAGAAACTCACCGCTTTAGCGTCTTTAGCTTTCTTGTTTCCTTCTGCTTCATACAGATACCGAACCTGCATAACCATGAACCCAGGGATCTATACAAACAGGCACAAGCAGAAGTTTGAACCAAAATCCGAATATAACATTCCATATGGTCAATCGACCATAACTGTACACCGCTTCTTAAAGCGTCCTAAATTTAAAATTTGTTCTTACTGGCTGTCGATAACTGTCAGTTGTTGTAAACTGTAGTATCTTAATATCACAGCCAGTTCATTCTGATACTGGCAAGAGGTTTTACTCTGCAGGCTGTGACGTAACAGTAGTTAACAGCAAATCACATTATCAAAACCATGTCTTTTCCACACCAAGGACACCTAAAAAGTGTAACTTACCGTCCACAGAATAGCTTGATACTTGATTAACATTCTTACAATGTTCACTGTGCCTTGAGCTTGCTTGATTTCTTGTAACGATGGCTGTGACTTGGATGTGCAAAGGAAAAGATTTGGAGCCATAATCATAGCCACACTGTTCAAGCCCATCTTGTTTTGTTTTTCATGGGCTACCACTTGGCTCAAAAATTGAACAAGAATCTGAAAAAAGGTTACAGGGTGTATCAGCTTACTATGCCTAAACCATCTCCCTTTGTTGACCATAAACCTAGTACATGTAATTCTAAAAAATGCATATGTAAATACGATGTCATCATAACAAATTCTTTATGTTCAAAAACTTATATTTTCAGGCTCAATCATATTATCTGTCGATGATGTTAAAACATTATCTAATTAGGAATACATCCATCTGCAGCACAAGCAGCAGTACGTGTACACTTTATTCTACCTTCAAACAATCTCTATGAACTGCCGGCAACAGTAGAATTAAAAGATTCAATGCTTGAAGCTGCTGTTTTCTATCAGGTATACCTAGATGGAAGAAGTAACATAAAATACATGTGACATAACAAATAACAATACACATTAAAAAGATGAATATTATTTGTGTCTTCAGTTTCACAAGATAAAGAACTAAAAAGGCATTGAAATCCATGCTGATGGCTGTTCTTGCAGTTATCAGCGGCTTGACACACAAACGAGGCGAAAGGGTCAATTCTACATTGTATTGACCCTTTCGCCTCGTTTGCATGGCAATTAAAACAAAAGAATATTAGACCGCAGACTCAACTGCAATAACAGCTATTAAGGTTACTGTATACATGTGCAGTTCCTGATGACCCGAACCTTAGAGGAAAATCAAGCGACGTACGAGGTATCTGAAGTTTGAATTATCATGAGATGGAAACAAATGACCAGAAACTAGGAAATAAAATGAAGTGCGTTTCAATCAGGTTTATTACAGAGGAGTAAGACAGCCCATGATGCTCTGCCAGCATAGCAAATCATAACAGATCTGACGGGATAAAACAAAGCAAAACAGCATCCCTACAGTGCATCGTTGGTTTCAGTTTCTGTTTTGTGTCTGTCCTGTTGATATTTTTTTTATTACGTTTGGTATAATTTGTTAAAATAAGCACTTCTTTTAAGAAAAAAAAATCTCTTATTTTTTTCTCGAGCATCTGAGCGGGCCGAAATCCTAAATCCCCGAATTTGATTGGCTAATCATACGCACGTGACTGGTCCAGCTTTTTCCGATACGGCCCACGGGCCGGATTTTTTTCCCCGCTGCCTTAATTTCGCTCCTAAAAGTTAGCGGTAATGGTTAATCTTCTGCCTTTTTTACGCATCCATCGACGATTAGTCAACGCAAGTTTATCTCTGTTCACTTTAAAATGGCAAGGAAAGTCACTGCAAGTAAATTCAATTGAGTGTTTTGAAGTTGTGAGAGTTTGCTTAGTTGTTTCAGTGTAGCTTGGCGCTGTAATGGCGCGTAATCCTGTGTTTCTCTCGCCGTAAAATTTGAGTCAATTNGTGTTTCTCTCGCCGTAAAATTTGAGTCATTTTCAGTCCAGTTTACCTCTCTGATCGTTGCTGTATTTAGGAGAATTTCTGTGGAATACACTTAACGAATTTCCTCGCTTTCTGCTATTCCATTACGGTAGAAAAATCTGATCTCAAGTAATTTTAAAAGCAACGACTGACAGAAATTGTTTTTGTAGGAAAACTTCAAACTTCACACGAAATTTCACACCGCAAAAACAACTCGGGCTTGAAAATGCCCCAGGCCTCGGGCAGCATTCAAGACCTCGGTCACAGTTTTTCACTATGCCATGCATAAATAAACAATAGCCTCCATTTGGCACGGAAATATTCTAGAATATTTGTCCGCAGACATGATCTGTTCCGAGAAGTGAAAAGTTTTCCGGGAGCGTAGTTCGAGGAAAACTGTGAGCTTTGAGGAGCAGATAATGTCCAAGGACAAATATCCGAGCACATTTTCGCGCCAAATGGAGTCTATTGTGTTTATTATCCTTCAAATTTTTTTCGCAACACGCGCAGTTTTGAAAATTGGGGAATATTTTCTGATATTTTCAGAGAAAGGCCTGCTACGTATGTTCCATAAACTTTAAAGTGTGCTCGTTATCATTGAATGCAAATCAAGATTATTAACGTCAGTCAAAAACCATTGTTATCGATAACTGTTTTGTAGCAAAATTAAATTCACCCAGAGTACTTGTTCTTTATTTATTTTAAACAAAATCTGTGACATAATTTAGCGAGGAGCGTCTTAGGAAAATTACACATTTAAATTAAAGCTTAATACTGAACTCTCAAAACAGCTTACTTCTAGTTCCTATATTTCATAGGCATTCATGATAACCTTGAGTGGCTCTGTCATAAATCATGTGCAAGAACCGCGAGCACAGCATTCCATCTTTAATTTTTTATATAAACATCTTCATGGGACGCCAATGCGTTTGTTTATCAGGAATCCTCATCCTCCATCACATCTTCGAAATATTTCTGATGAAAAAGAAACAAATGATGGCAATCATACGACAATCACGTCTAGTTGACTGCAGTTATCTTTTACGCTACACAAGTAACAATGAAGTGCACAAACTTGAAACCATTCATATAGGAACTTGAAACCAATTGAAACCAGTTGAAACCATTCGTATAGCCAGCCAGTTACTAAGTTTATCTGCAAGTCTAGCGGTCTGCCTGTGGGTCTGTGGGACTATCGGTCGGTCGGTCTGCATGTCCTCTTCCAGTCTGTTAGTTTGCCGGTCTGTGGCTCTGTTGGTCTGTCGGTCTCTTAGTCAGTTAGTCAGTCACTTAAAAAGCTAGCAAGCTAGCTAACCAGAAGGTCATACAGTCAAACAGTCAGATAGTCAGTCAATCTATGATCAGATAGTCAGTCAGTCAGTCAGTCAGTCAGTCAGTAAGTCCCTTAGTCAGTAAGTCCGTCAGTTAGTCCAGTGGTCTTTTGGTGCATCCGTGCGTCAGTCTGTTAGTCTGTCAGCCTGTCGGTCTGTAAGTTTACCAGTCTGTCAGTTGGTCTGCCAGTCAGTTAATCTGTCAATCCATCATGTCAGTTTCATGTCGGTCTATCAGTCTATCAGTCTGTCAGTGGAGAATTAGATAAATAAGTAAACCATCTTGCCTTCCACACGTCTTCATGAAAACGATCTCTGTACTCAGTGTTAGTTTTCCCCAGATCTCTAATGGGAGACTTGAACAGCTGGTCATCATCCGTAAGGACCCCTGGATCCCGTTTGGCCAGATAATGACGTAGTTGAATAAATACGTCAGCATGAAAGTTGTCCCCGGCACTGTCAGCTAATTCTTTTAACTCATCCATGCATATTCGGATATTTGTCTCATCACAGGTTGATTTCTGTTGAAAACATGAAGAAAATGGTATTTCAAAAATCGGCTTCTGTTTTGTGTTCAGTCATTGCCGCCATGTTTTTAGTATCAACGATCTAGATCAGTTATATCAAAGATTTGACAAGATATAATTATAAGTTTGATTATTGCTTATAAACGTTTGAGCCCATTGTTTCCGGCTTACACGTCATACATAAAGCGGACGCGGTAAGGTAGAAACAATCTTGACACCGGTTGCAAAACCTTCGCCCGCAGTTTAATTTCTTTTTCAATGGTCCTTGACCCCTTCTCTCTTTTCATGGACCACTCTCTTTACAGCTTCTCTTCATTTTATCAAAATACCCAAACCGTTGAACATGTTTTGTTCTTAGATGCGATCGAATTTTCTATTAATTGGAGTGTACATGACCTACAACACCACAATCCCCCTGTAGAGTTAAATCGTAGTAAAAGGATGATGTAAGTTAGAAAATATGACCAAAATAGGCCCATTCTGTAGGACTAAACACATTCTACTTTATCTAGAAATCTTCATTGTGCCTAATTTCTCGCAGAATGGAGCGGATGTCGCGTTACAAGACCAAAGATTCCGGGAAAGGTACGGTCGTCAAAACGCTTGAGCTCCAAACTAATTACGGCGATCCAGTAACATTGATTTTGCGTTTCTGACATGTACATGAGCTGTTCGTTACCTAACTACAGCAAAAGTTAAAACCCGAACAGGAGAGGATTTGCCAATGGGCGAGAACGTCCTTGAGGTAAGCTAATACAATCCCCTTCTATTTGTCAACCTGTAAGAAAACGCACTTTCTGGGAAAAGAATGTAATCAATTTGTCTGGATGTATTATATCTCTGACAGACCTGCATCGCAACCGAGTCATCAATGTTGACATTGCTCCACCACCACCCCGAGGGAATGTAAAGCAACTCCCCCGGTTCCTGTACACATTCCAGCGGTTTGTAATCGTCTTGTAACTCAGGTCTGGTGTAAATCCACCATATAAATGGCTCCGATTGGTGAGAGTCCTGGGTCCGATGATTGTTGTGCGCTGCACCTGTGCGTGTAGAGGATTGGACATCGTCCTTTATATCTTCACATGAACGATTTTATTTTTAACAATAACTGTCTAATTTCTCACACGCTGATTGGCTCATTTTTATCATCATTAAGAGTACAGACGGATAAAATTTTGATTTATGCAAGCTCTCAAGTTCAACTTTCAGCTGTCGAACTGTCAACTTTTTAACCAAAGAGATTATATTGACTTTTTTAAGTAGCCAATCAAAAAGGGAGAAAAGAATGTTAATGTTCGCGTTATTTTGAATAAAATTCATTTATCTTTGTTTACAGCAAGTTTACGGCGTCTTTTCCCCTCATTTATTCCCGGCATTTGGCCATTTTGGGGTCTTGTTATTGTAAAAGACGCCTCCGGCTCGTGGTTCCACAGCCACTTTGACAATGTTATGACGCAATTTATCATCAATAAGAGGACAGACGCATATCTAATCCCGAATTTAACAATATGAACATGGAAACTGGAGTAGACCAAATGCTACTAAAGCCGGAGCACACTAATTTCAAGGCTTGAAAGTAATTGTTTCTTACAAACGATCCAATGCTTTCCATTTAAGCCTTCAAGGGCCAATCGTGCGTTTTCGTACGCTGCGGGGTCATGCACTTTGTACCACTAGTGACGTCATCAATTAAGGCGTCGATAGGTATTCTTGATTAGCAGATAAGAGAGCTAGAATAGATTTATCCGCACAGCTGTCCGTTTTGGATATCAACTGCATTCTGACATAGCTAATTGAAAAAAACGTGAGCAGTTTTTGACGCAAAATTGCTGGTAAAATGGCCCATTACACCTAAAATCGATCAAGGTTCTATTTCCAGGCCTTCAACGTAATCAACACCGAAAATTTTACGGCTGGCAGAAAGGATATGAAGAGCAAAAGCTAGCAAGGGTAAAAGGGGCGAGAAAAACAAAAGGAAAAGGCCAAGAAAAAAAAGTCTGATCAGGCCAGCAAAAAAAGTCCAATTTTTGGCTCATGCGCATGCTCCAAAGTAAAACATTGTACATTGTGGTACCTAATCCTCAGAAAAATCTTGCTTCTCGGTAAAAAATCGCTTTCTCAACAAAGTTGAGGCCAATTTAGGGTCGTGGCAGCCAAAAAACCGAGTTAACTATTTATTAAGCATACAAATAAACTCCAAACATAAAATAAAAAGGAGGATCACCATGCTTTTTAGGGCGGTATTATCAGTTAAACATACAGTCACCCTTTTCCTGCAAATGTAGAAGGTTGAATGAAGCTTCTTAATATAGGACATCTGTGATATTTTTACTTAAAAGGGTACTTCTAAGACTTCCCTACAAAAGGTGGCTAATTTCGTGGACCATTCTCGAACTAAGAAGTTGAAATGTGGGAGAGGCAAGACGATGTAATACACCGAATCTAAGGTACAACTGGAGAAGGGCTCAGAAACCACAGAGGAGTTTGATCAAATCCCTCACGAAAACAAGACAAAAACAAGCCTTTAAAGTATTAGGATTTCAATATCTCAAACTTACCCGGTATAAAGTAATGATAAGGAGGATAAAGACCCCAGCGTCTCCGTCCATGAATCAAAGCGCTCCACAAAGACGCGTTCAGCGCCTCCACGCGCCAGTGAAATCCGGATCTCTTGGGAGTCATCTCAAAAGACAGCTGGGAAGGACGAATGTCTTCTTCTACGACCTGGAAAAGTCAAGTGAGTAACTGAAGCGAGATTTAAACGTAGCAAATCTGGGGACAAATGATTCAATTCGATTCAATTCTACACAAGTTTATATCTAATACACTTAGTTTTTCACGTGTGACATGAGGAAATTTCGAGGGCGAATCACAACCGAAGATCACATTAATTTGTAGTGATTGTAATCTTTAGTTAATTCCTTTTTGGCGGAAACTGTCAATGACTTGCCATTTGATTTTACAATGGTGTTTATAATATTCCTTTTAAAAGCCGTAGATATAAATATAGATATAACGAACTTGAAATTTAGTAGAGGCATTTTCAAAAGCTTGTCATGAGATGACCATTAACCATCTACTAGACAGATGCGTGGCAATGTGGCTAACTGGTAGACTTAAATGCACGTGTATGCAACTGTCAATAAAAAAATCATAAAATTAACATGGATGACAAGCCGATGTCTAACTGAAAAATGTTGGAGCTGACCTGGAAGGCTGAAACTTGGTCACTAACCTCCAGGTAGTCTTGAGAGAATTCCGGAAAACTCATTGAGTCCATCAGCTCGGGGTAAATTAGATGAAAGTCCTTCATGATCACTTTTGCTGGCTCTCTGTAAATATCAGAAAACCGACTGCGAAATTTATTCCATTGGGAATAGGGAGTGATACCTTCCATGACGTCAACTTTGACACCTTTAGTGAGGATACTTCCTATGACGAAAATCGAAATGTATTTATTATGTAACATGTAACTGTTTTTTGGTCAAATTCATCATCAGTTAAAGCAAGTTGAAGTAAGGTAGTCGCTTTTTCTGGGGGCTGCATCAACCTCATTCGAACAAGAGAACTAGCATACGTCGCAGAAATTCACTGACGGCACGCACACAAGGTATTTGTTTAGTATTTTCTACGTCCTTTCCGTTCGGATTGTGAGTTGTCTTTCTACGCGCTGGCGACGTTTTCGCCTCGATCCGGTAAAGTTAACATTTTTACCGAAAATTGTAAATAACAGAGAATGAGATCAAGATTTTCTTCTGTTTTAGACGACAAATTCACGTGACCCAATCCATCGTGTAAATGATGACGTTACAAGTGGTTCAAACACCATGGTGTGCTCTGTGTGTTCTTTTTTTTGCGCGCTTGAGACTCAAATGGGTAAATTTGGTGTTCACAGTTTCATGGTTTGGGCCTAGCCTGCGAATCGTAGAACATACATAATTGTCATTTTAAATGCCTGTCGTCATACCGCAACACTATGACTTTCTCGTCTCTTACCAAGTTGATCAAAGTCCCAGGACTTTGTGGCTTCCCAGCTGTCCATCATTCCCGTTAAAATAGCAGGTTTACGCGGCTTCATGTAACGCTCCAAAAAGGTCTTTCCTGAAGGCCGATGGACACGATCAATCGTACATTCCCCGTTCTCCTGTTGGTTGATCTGCTCAGTCATGCGTTTGAAGTACAGCTGTTCTCGTTCCACACGCTTTTGCCGACGCAGCTCATGAGGTAACTCGTGGAGATCAGCGGTCTTCTTTTGGCTCGTTACATTATTAGGAGCAAACTGTCCTGGCATTTGAGTAGACTGCACTGGAGAGAACGCTTCGGAATCATCCTCGTCAACAGAAACGGGCTCTAGTACGTTGAAGGAAACAAGAACATCAACAATAAAACAGCGCCGCGCAATTAACGATTTTTGGATCACAAAATTCGAAGAAAAAAAATGTCAGTTCAATATTTATCAAGGAATTTGTGCAGCTTTCGCCTTGTTTTGCTTTTCTTTAGTTTTTTCTTTTTCTTTTTCTATTATAATAGCTCATGCTAAACAAATGTTACTTAAATGCTTGGCACTGTGAAGCATATAGAGGAGACTATAGTAAACCATATTTTTAAATTTGTGTAGACAGAATGGTTAGAATGATGACTGAAGTCATTATGGAGAAAATGTATAGCAGAAAATTGATTTATATTTTACAAATCTAAGCAATCGAACACTGATCTACATACGGTAAAGCAGGTGGGCAAAGTACGTCATGTAAGCAATAAATGGAACTACAGAAACGGCAAACAAAGCCACAGCTGTGCAAGCGGTAACGACTGAATAGAATCTTTAATCACTTGCCGTTAATTTATTTACATTTTCTCACCGTTGCCATTCCTGATAGTGAATGAACCGCTGTCGCCACAAGTTTCTGGAGCACTGTTTTCGCAAATTTTAATATGATAACTGCCCGATTGAATGGTCTGTGGAACAAGCCAAGAATGCTTCATTATATCATCTTTAAACTCGCTTAAACCTGATGAAATCTCTACCACTTTGTTCTCCTCACTGTCCAGTAGTTCTATGTTCCATTTGAAGCAAAACTTCGACTGAGTCCATGCAATTGGATAAGAGTTATGTCCCGATATCCAAACAGCGCCTCTCTGTGGTTGGCTGATCGTGATTATGTTTCTTGGGTCCACAGCGCTATCGCATAATCGAGAAAAAAAGAACAGTTCTGCGACGAAAGTCATACGCACAACTAGGTTTTCAAGCATCATTTTAAAAATTCAAAGATTCAGTTGACTTCTATGGTAATCATGATCATTTCATAATGTAAATAAAAGCCGAGATCATTACGGCTTGTGACACGTATTGCCCTATGTATCTGACATCATCATAATTTTAAAAAAGATATTCTGATCATGTGATATCCGTGAAACCAACATGTGTGTCTTTAATAGATGCGAAAAATGTGGATAGTGTTTAAATTTTCCAGGCCGAGAACTTTCGGAAAATTTTGGCTATTCATTGTGTTTCTGATTCGAAGAGTCGAAATAAAACGAAAACAAAAAGTTAAAGTTGTATTCCCCTGAAAGAGCTCCGGTTGGAAAATAAATGACATCACTTGACCGTCTAAATCCCTGAAATTCGCCACTTTTCTTTTCATAGGTCGTAAGTAGCTTCTGCTTGGGGAATTTAATTTCCACTGACCGTTTTATAAGACAGATTTTGTCTGCTTAAAATGAAAAGATAAAAAATGATTGTTAGCCTACTTGAGGCATTAGTGTTTATTTCGTACTAACTGCTGCGTCCTTTAGCCTGGAATTTCCCGAAAAACTAAATAATTATTGATACAGCAGACAGCTCAGAAAACAAATGAATGCGGAGTTGGATGAAACACTAACGCCTACAACTATCTATAATACGAAATTCAATTCAAGTAGCGAACTGATATCGCTGAGAAACTTACGCCAACCTGAAAAAAGAAAAATAAACAGTTGATTTGTAGATATGTTTCTTTCCGGCCACGGGTTTCCTAAGATCGTCAACCTCAAGACATGTAGGACATTGCACTGACTTCAAGAAAATTAACAATTGAGGTATACACTGCTTTATATCATGCCATATAAAATACAGCCAAAAATCTCTTGCCAATCAGAACACAGGAAAGCCGTTCTATAGTCGACGGTTTTACTCCCGCCTTCCCACCTATGGCATGGTATAAAATAGTCAGTCTGGAATATTCCACTTGTCACTTGTATTTTCAGTGGTATACACTCGCCTAAAGGCTGGTGTGCATATGGAGAAAATACAAGTGACTCTTGGGATATTCCAAGGTGTACCATTTGAAAGAGTTGAAGTACTGGTCTCTCTCTATATTAAACAATTAGATTAAGAGCTCGAGATTTCTATCGCGTGATAGTTGACGAGGGCGCAGCCCGAGTGAACCATCACGCATAGAAATCGAGAGCAAATAATCTAATTGTCTTAGTGTAGATCTACTAGTCGTTCAAAACTTTATCTAAATCCTCTTCACAGACACTGTGACAACGCCAAGAAGCGGCCGTCATTTCGTTAACAAGGGCACACTGCTAGGCTACTCACTATCTATCACAGAATAGATAGTGAGTAGCGTAGCCAATCAGAGAACGGCATTCCTGATAGAACGCTAGTAGATTTATACTAAATATTTAGTATAAATCTATTAAAGTTCTATCACGAATGCCGTTCTCTGATTTTCGGCGTATTATTAAACTTCGTTCCTCAGAAAGATCACTTGGATTGAATTGTCATTTGAACTTGCAGTTGTGTGCACGCAGGCATCATTTTTTCAGTAATTCCAAGTTTTTAAAGTCTCGAAACCGTATATGTCCTTCTTTTAGTCATCTCAGAAATTTTAATTAGCCATTTGCATCAAAATATATATTCCTCCAAAACTTTGGGAAAACGAAAAAACGTCACTCGTTCGAAGACGACCTCCAACCACTGCACACTAATGGCTGATAGTGTGCAATGGCTCAGCCAATAGAACAGAATGACGGCCGTTTCTTTTCGTTTTCTAGGTGTTAGTGAAGAGGATTTAGACAAAGTTTTGAACGACTAGTAAAACGTAATTAGATTGTTCGCTCTCGATTTCTATGCGTGATAGTTGACTCAGGCTGCGCCCTCGCCAACTATGATAGATAGAAATCTCGAGCTCACAATATAATTGTTAAATACATATATTAATTCCTAGCGTCTGCCCCTAATCTTTACTGCCTCATACCATCCCTTATTCTCCCAGTTATCCCGAACTGACAACCTCTTCAGAGACTTCGGAGGCATTGCAAACAAGACTTGAAAACTGAAAATGAGGCCTCAATTTTTTTGAGTTTACAACCCGTGGAAGCCAGCTTGAATAGACAGAAATCAAGTCGAGTTGATGTCGTGCCGGTGTAATCTTAGTGATCTTAATTTTTTTTTTAAATTTAATTTAATTTTAGTGTCATACTTCAGTCTGGACATTCTATATCACCGCGATATTGCCTCATTGATTGCCCAAGCTTTGCCAAAAGACTAAGACTAAGACTAAGTGCCTTCGCGACTGTACTAAATGCTCACAGAATGAATTCTCGAAGGAAACCTTTAATAAGTTTGCGGTGTATTTTGTCTTCGAAGAGGCGACGACAGAATTTGAATAAGTCTACAGAGTGACGTTTTCAACTTGGCATCTTAACCTTCTACCTCATCATAGTCTCTTGCTACTGCATATAGTTACGTAACTCTGACCACCCCGCTTCAGCTGCACTTATTATGTAATAATTCAAGTTTAAGACAGAATTATGCCATTACCGTCAACGTTTCCATTGATGGAAATTAAATATTTCATTTGGATTTTCAATTTTCGAAGTCGTGCTCATGATACTGTCACAGGCCAAAGTTGAACGGTTAGGTTTCTCAATGCGTCTTAGCAGATTTTTTTCTTTCTTTTTTTTTTTAACATCCGGATTCAGCAGTTATCAATTTCAACAATCGGCTAGACACCACCACTGACACCCGGAAAAGGACTGGATTTCTGCGCCCCTATGATAAAAACAACTTTCAACTACACTGCTCTAGAACATTTGGAACATCGACGAGAGTTCCGATTGCTAATACGGCTGTGAGACCTTTCTGAGTATTATCAAGCTATGTAACACCAGTAAAGTATTGCATAAGCTGACGAAAAATAACAATAAAGCAAACTTCAGCAGGCCATGTTGTGGCCAGGGGATATGTCCCTTTACTGGAGTACTAAACTCTGAAATCGGCCATACAACATTGGCGTAGTGTGAATTCAGTTATGAGCAATGTAACAGCGGTATTTGACAAAGAAGCGGCTTTTCATTTACTTTCATGCTGACAATTTTATGAAACTTTCTGGAAGTTTATATAACAGGCTTGACTCCTGCTGTGGACAATTTCGATGATTATACGCGGACAAAAGCTTCTTTTTTGGTATTACCTACAACATGCTGTGATTCAGTGAGCGGGGCCGTTTACAATATGCTCTTGTATAAGTTTCATGGGAAAAAAGCCTATTGCGTAACTTTAATTACGGTTATTAACTTCTGTAAACAATGTCCATTTATTTCACGCTCTGGGATAAAGAAACGTTTATAATCAGTGCTGCATGTACAAAAAATGGCGGCAATTGAAGCCTAATTGTATTGCTTGAACGATGAAATAAATTTTACTGCCAAGAACTATATTTTTCCAAGAATGAATGAGTTGTTACCCTCAGTCAGTTTTCGATGCACACGTGAAGTTTTACCCTGGACGAGGCAAAATAGAATTGCCCTGAGGAAGATTTGGAGTACATTTGAGACACATGGATAAATAAATGCATCTTTGCCGTCCATATGAAACCAATTCCACTATCATCTTTTACTTGAAAAATATTTCGGACCTTGGCCTTAAAAATGAATGAACCATTGTAGCCAAAATACTTTACCAGAACCTTATCAGAAAACTGATAAACTCTATCAGATCAGTATTCCCCGCCCGTATCAAGTGCAGACTATTATAGCTTAATTTTGTCCTCACGTTAGATTAATATTTGCTAATTAAACAATCTCTCATGGCTCAATCATTTTGATCCTAATGCAGTCATCCATCAACGATGTAGTAACTTAGCTGAGACTTCCTCGACTCTATAATTGTGCAGTATGGCGTCAAAAAGATACCCCCGTTTGTGCTCACCGTCGATTCTATAGAGCTCGAGGCTATGCCATCATCTACCGCCTGACGGCAAGTGAGTTACAAAAATAGCACCCATCGTGGGTATTGATATCCGAAAATAGATTTTTATCGCTAAATTTAATAAAGTCAATACAGCGTAACATCGCCCTTTGATCATAACTCAAGTCTCAGATCAGTGACTCAGTTCTCTTTACTCACTCTGTAGTTTTTTGAAATTATCTTGGGAGAATTTACACTTAGTCAAGACCTTCCATCCCGAGATAATAATGTGTGTTTGAATTCACATGACCATTACATTTTTCATTTGCTTTACTAGGCTAACTAAAGTTGGCTGTCATTACTCTTAACAACGTCCCTTTAGAAATAACGTGCGCGCTCAGCCAAGTAGACACAGTTGAATAAAAAGCATCGATTCAAAACGTGGCGAAGTAATTAAAAGTCTCTATTGACACGGAGAGAATGCCGTGATGATTGCCGATAAATAGATAAGAGTTCAATGGGGTGTAAACAATTTGTTCGCATATTTATACCCCAGTTATTCTCTCTTGAGAACATTTGGCCTTGAACGCGCATCAACGCCGAACAAACAAGTTGCAGCACGGAGAGCAATCTCTTGTAACCACCTTGATATTTATTTTAGTAATCGGCGGTTAGTGACCATGAGCTTTTCGTTGGAAGATTTTTTATCAGCTGGGCAGATTTTAGTCCTCTGCTTTCTGATTTGTGTGTTCCTTACTGGAAAAGCAGTGTGGCAGCAAACTTTTTCCAAGTTGCCTCCAGGACCTTGGGGCATGCCAGTGATTGGTAAGTTAATTGTTTAATCTTTCTGATCACGATTCGATGTTCAGTTTTTACGTTATAACCTCTGTGATTGTCAAGCCACTCAAGACGTTTTTGCCTGTTTAAAACAGTACTGCTTCATTTGATGTTGAAAGTCCGGCAAGACTATTCAACTAGCCGTGAAGAGGCAGAAATTGTTAAAAAAGACTGCGAGATTCAGGTTTACAACATTAATTTTAGTATTGACAACTTGAGGAATCTAACTTACACGAGTTCAGTTTAGTATTGTACATTGTGCTGATTTTTTTCCGTGATTACAACTAAGCATCGTCCGGTTTTTGGAGAACCCTTCACTGTGAGCTTTAAACTTTTACATAGTTTGACTTCAACGACTGAAAAGGGGTAAATGTTCTCTAAATTTCTCTCTGTTTTTTTTTTTTTTTTTTTTTTTTTTTTTTTTTTTTTTTTTTTTTTTTTTTTTTTTCAGAATAACAACTAACAACTTTTGGTTAGGTCTAAAAATGTCCTCTGAAGGCGGTTCAGAGCTGCATTAAATTTCCAGATGTAATGTAAAAGTACTTGAACTGGATTCTTCCCACGAATGTTCATTAACGCTTATGCCGTCCGTTGGGACGGCAGAACAAAAGACTGCCGAATGTGAACTATCTTAATTTGAATACTTACTTAAATTTTTGCCGCCGTTAATTAATATTCCAAAAAAAAATAAAGTGAGGTGGAGGTCCAGGGTTGATGCCCTATGCTCCTCATTAGGAGCGAAGATAGCCTAATTTTTAATGTAAATTAATATTCTAATCGTTCGTGTCAGTGTTCAGTTTTTGTTGAGTCCTTGTAGAATTCGGTAAAATAGTAATGCGAAAGAGTTTGTATCGTCGAAACACGGATACTTGTAGGACCAACGGTGGCGATCTCTTTTGTAAACGGGCCAATGATTCTTTTATACTTTATATACTCTACAGATCCCGTGCCTGGTTTTGATTATCATAATTATCAATTTTCTCAAATATTTAGCCTCAAAATTCGTCTTGTGACAGATAACCCGAAACCCGTTTAAAGATGCTATAAGTTCAGGATCGAAACGAACCAATCTAATTATGACAAATATTCCTGAGAGGTCTACAATATTCAGAACTATTGTCTGTACTCTCCAACGTCCTTAGTTCGTAAATGAAAACGATCACCTTCTTCAAGCGGCCCGGTTCGAGCAGTTACACTGTATTTGGGTGACACGGATCCTCGAGGGTCGTTGTTTCTGGGCTGCTAAGACAAAATCATCAATGGTTGAAATCTACTCACAAGAAGGATAAATCGTTAAGGTTGTCGAAGTGATGACGTTGAATGACAGCAATGCGATTCCTCGAAAGGTCACTGGGAGAAAGATATTGACAAAAGTTAGTCGGGTGAAGGTTACAATGTTGTGCAATACGAAAAAAGCGACAGTACTCAAGACGCTATCACGACAGGTCATCCCGTTCTTTAGCAGTTTCAATTTACTTTTACCTTTGTTTCCCGTTTTGGGTCGGTTAAGTTTTTCAGTGCATTACCGAGTAAGTCGGTAATTAATGTACACGGCTCATTTTAGCTCGTTGCAAAATATAAATGGTTTAGTAGAATCATTTCGCCTGAATTGTTTACACAAAGTACAGACATCAGAAAGATCAAGTTAGTTCTTGTCTTAATCGACGAGTTATGCTTCTGTTGGGTTGACATATTTTTCTTTCGAAAGATCTTTTAGGAAAGAGAACATGAATAACGAAGAACTAGAAAGAAAGGGTTTTATAGAGCACTAACTATAAATACACTGAGCTTCGTATAATGTTATCCTGCGGAAAATATCCTGAAATTGCCCAGTGTTCAAGAATATCTTGATCCATAAAATACCTACAGATATTTCAGATAGGTCATGTTCGTGAAAGTTCCATTAGGCAACGATGAAAATTGATTGTTTTGAAGTAACCTGAGAAAATAAATCATTTGTCATCTTACTTGAAGGTCTGTATGGGCTAGCTGATGGCTGAGTACTGGTCATACTAATTAACAATTATTGGGCGAGGTTGATCAAAATATCGTGTTTTGTCAGTGGCCGGCAAACTGACAGAGAAGCTGACAAATCACGATATTTGAGATAACGAAATTCAATAATTAATTAATCATTTGATCACCAATAAATTAAAAAAAGTTTGTTTTCATATTTACAGGCGTTAAATCATTCTCTGACAGCTAAGGGAAGTTTCAACCCTGAGCGCAGCTACAATTACGCAAGATCAGAATATTAATTACAGCCAAACACATCTACTCTGTATGTATGTCTTTTCACGTTGCCTGTTCAGCTTGACAGAATGAAACAGTGGTCGATTATAACACGGTGGGCAATTTCAACTCATGCCATTATCACAAGCTGAGTACTCGAGGATCACCCTATCAATGACCGAAGATCATCCGAGGTCTTCCAACTTTCAACTGTTGAGATTTGAATCATCAGTCATCAACAGAGTTTTGCCACGGAATCAAAACTTGGGGCCGTTTGGAGTACTGACTGGAGTTTAAATCACGGACCTATTAAAATCAGTTTTAATATTGACCCTGGAGGTGTTGTTCTCTTCAATTAAGAAGTAATGGCGTATAACTCACAGAATAACAAGTCGTTGGAGGCCCGTGAACGCGGCTGGCCGAAGAATTTCAATCTTGTTTTTGGACAAGTCCCTAAAAGTTAGTCGTTAAATTTTCAGATAGAGATTAGGTTCACCGTCACTTCATTATTACAGTTTGCTCAGTTTAGATGTTATTTTATTGAATAGTAATTATGACTGCAACGATTTCTTTAATCTATAATATGTAATGCTTACAGTTTTTGATCGAGTCTAAAGAAAAGGCTTGCTATTTGGCACAACAAATCATAAGAACAGAAGTATAATCTTTTACTTCTATTCACGAATCGATGGCGATTTTGAAGGCGACTGATACATGGCGAGACAGCTTACCATAAA